CTTGCTCTACAATTGTACGAGGACAGTTAAGCCTAATTTTTACAGTACTACAGTAATGCACTTAATAATTTATAATGCACCAAAAAATATAAAACAATAACATACAAAAAGTAGACAAATTCCCTTACCTCCAACTTTTTCTGGCTTTGCAACTATGTGACAAGAGCTGTTACAAATTCATCCAAGCTCGTCAATAATTTTCCCATGGGAATGAATCTTGTACTGTGAGTGAAATTGATGATATTCTATTCAGGACACAAAGTTATACAATACGTCATTTAATAGATGAAAATCTTAACTTTCTATTGGTTATAGGTAATATATAATGAAACATAAGAGAAAACTATCAATGATTTATGAAAGAAAGGATGTGACAGGTGGGTGTGGCAGGAGGGGTCTGATTTTCTATTTGATAGCTCTGTAACCAAACAAAATTGAAGACTATAAAATTATGGTTTGTCTGAGCAATAATTGATTTTATAGTGAGTAACTTATGTTTAATTTCGTACTTTTTCAATGGGTAGTGGATAAAATAGGGATGAGAAAATATGTCATGTTGATCATACTAGTAGAAATTCTGGATTTTTTTTTAAATATTGCTTTGTAGAATTAAGAACCTAAAACGTGTATACTATTAAAATATAGATTATTAACTAAGATTTTATGTTATTCTAATTGGTATAACATAAACAAAAAGTAGTTTAATAAAATTTGAATACAAGACACTAAAACCTTGGGTTAAGGGCAGTAAATGATACCAGGGAAAAGAGGGTTAATGAATTTTTGCATACTGATGCAGTAAATCATCCACAACTTTAGTCACTGTGTCTATGTTAAAGCACGAAGATGCATCTACTAATAACCATGTAGGTCTTACTAAATAAAACAGGTTATATTCTAGTTGTTATATAGGATTATGATGTATCCGGAAATAGTACGTACCTTTGATAAGTTTTACAATCTCTTTACTTAAAATGGATTTTCAATATACAGTCTTCACAGAACAAATAGCTTATGCATTGCCGCTGATGCTGAGAAGATTTTATCCATGTGCCAAGCTTTTAGATGAACTCTCATCCCTACATGTAGGAATGTTCACTGTGTTAATCTATGGTGCAATAAGTATTAGACTATACCCTTCCACCAATAGGAGGGTGACACAACATCCAAGCACTTATGAATACCAAAAGCCCATTCTTTAGGAGGCAAATACACATATCAGAAGTGTGGATGTAAGGCAGGTAGTGTTGTGTAACGACGAGATGAGAGATGTATTTCAGATAGGGAAGATGTTAACTTTAGACAAGATTACTCACCTCTCTACAGAACAAGTAGCTAACTTTAGATTACCCGCTTCTCTACAGAACAAGTAGCTAACTTTAGATTACTCACCTCTCTACAAAACAAGCAGCTAACTTTGGATTACTCACCTCTGTACAGAACAAGTAGCTAACTTTATATTACTCACTTCTCTACAGAAGTAGCTAACTTTAGATTAATCACTTCTCTAAAGAACAAGTAGCTAACTTTAGATTAATCACCTCTCTACAAAACAAGCAGCTAACTTTGAATTACTCACCTCTGTACAGAACAAGTAGAGAACTTTAGATTACTCACTTTTCTACAGAACAAGTAGCTAACTTTATTTTATTCACTTCTCTACAGAAGTAGCTAACTTTAGATTAATCACTTCTCTACAGAACAAGTAGCTAACTTTAGATTAATCACTTCTCTACAGAACAAGTAGCTAACTTTAGATTACTCACTTCTCTACAAAACAAGTAGCTAACTTTAGATTACTCACTTCTCTACAGAAGTAGCTAACTTTAGATTACTCACCTCTCTATAAAACAAGTAGCTAACTTTAGATTACTCACCTCTCTATAAAACAAGTAGCTAACTTTAGATTACTCACCTCACTATAAAACAAGTAACTAACTTTAGATTACTCACTTCTCTACAGACAAGTAGCTAACTTTAGATTACTCACCTCTCTATAAAACAAGTAGCTAACTTTATATTACTCACCTCACTATAAAACAAGTAGCTAACTTTAGATTACTCACTTCTCTATAAAACAAGTAGCTGACTTTAGCTTACCTCTCTACAGAACAAGTAGCCATAATTCTACAGTGACAAGAGATATTTAGAAAAATAAATAACATTCTGAGAATATTGTGACAGAAAGAGGAAACACAGTATGTGTCTCCCACTGAAGGGGATAACTGAGTGTAAGGATCACTTGGTGTCTCAAGCGGAGAATACTCTTTGCCAAGTATAAATGGTTGGTCAGAAAGGTTGTATCACAAGAACTTGATATTTTTAAAAATTATTATTATTAAAGTGTTACAAAAGTGGTCGGAACGTGGAGGTTGCTCCTCTGGTAGATCCTATAAATGAAGTTTGGCTAGGGCAAAATGTCAAGTTATACAGTACAAATACTTAGAAGAATACACAGGTTCAGGGATGACTCCTCCCAGATTTGTATAAAGGAGAACTCAAAACCCATTTTCCTAGTCACAACCACTGTGAATAGTCCAGTTCTTAGTGTTGGGGGTAGACTGTACAACTCCTCCAGGTTCACACCCCTGCCTTACTTCCAATTGAAGATGGGCATTGACTTGATCTCATACAAGATGGATTACACTATCTGCAGGGGAACTCTCCATATCAACTCCTTAGCAGCTTGGTACTAGGGAAGAGCTAGACTCCTCTAGAAGATATTTGGAGAAGTAATTTGTACAGGAAAAAATACCAGAGAGGTGCACAGAATAAACACGAATCATCTAACCTACATAAAGTACCTCAGTGCTACACTTTACAACGGGTCAATGTGAATATGGACAGCAAGAGCTATCCTAGTGAGTGGTAGCTTAGCCATTCTGATTTTTTGTGTTGGTCTGGTATGGTCTGGAGAATAAATATATAGATGCTAATGAAGCAGTCTTGCCGAAAAATTTATGGGCACTTAGCAGAAGTTGATGGACAGGAAACTTTTTGTTATTCCCTACTTGATGTGGATTTTGGGACAGAGAAGAACTTTCTGTGAAGTACCACCAGAATATGGTGGGTTACTGTGTTTCTTTTTTTTAAAAATACTTTTGTTATGGTCCTGTTGGAAGGTTGGAGAATGGCAACAAAACCTAGAGGTTGATGAGACTAAAATGTGAAGTAATTAATGGGACATGAAGGTGTCTGGAGTCATCCTCATCCCTGCCAGCAGCATTTCACCCAAGGGACATCAATGGGCAGAGGCAAGAGATATGTGAAATTATGAACTTAATGGGTGGTAACAATAAAAATATGAAAAGTGTCACCCAAAAAGAAATACCAAAAGCAGGTGAGTTGATATATCCAGTCAAAGTGGAGAGAGAGACAAATCACAAGAAGTACAGAAATCTTATGGTAGGAAGACATGATGTTGATTGCCTCTAAAAATGGATGTAGAAGTGTGGTAACATCATACTACCCACACAAGACAAGAGATGTAGAAAGGAGGTAACATCATACTGCCCACACAAGACAAAAGATGTAGAAAGGAGGTAACATCATACTGCCCACACAAGACAAAAGATGTGGAAGTGAGGTAACATCATACTGCCCACACAGGTTAAAAAGATGTAAAAGTAAGGTAACATCATACTGCCCAAACAGGACAAGAGATGTAAAGGTGAGGTAACATCATATTGTCCACACAAGACAAAACAGATGATCAAGGTCTCAACACTGTACAGAGAAGAAATTGAAGGGAGGGTGACTGTAAAGAATATCCGATCACTCTCCGTGGCAGTCCTAGTCTTGGGAAGGAAGAAGAGGACTGGAAATTAAACTAACCTGTTCTGTGAGAAAAACATGCAGGAGGTGTCTAAGGTAAAAATATCAGAGTGGCATCTCCCAGAAGGAAAAAACAAAAGATATGTCTTAAGTGAATTCTGATATAGTGAGCAGATGGCCAAAGGTTCGTGCAGAGGATTTCTAAGGGCCCTGATAACATAGGTTCTAGTCTGAATGAAGAACTGGATGAGAAGAATAACTGATTATAAAGGTCCTGAGAAGGTCAATAAGAGCTAGAGAAAGAAAAAGTGAATAGCCAAGGAAAGACAGAAGGTGGAAAAAGCTGCTCTGAACACAGTGATTGAAGCAATGGATAGACTGCTTTCAAAAGCCATATGAAATAAAAGAAGAGAAATAATATGAGGAGTGGTAAATGAACAAGCATCAAAAACCTATCCACCTGTACTTAAAAACCACAAGGGTAGATGGCCAACAAGAGCAAGCAAGGAAATTGGCAACTTTCCAAGGGATCAGATAAAAAAACCCACATGAAGATGAAGAAGTGGTAAGTGATGATGAAAGATGGATGTCTAAGGCTGAAGTAAAAGCAACTTACAAGATGGAAGAATGACTCCTGAATCGCTAAAAGATGAAAGAGTGGAAACCACGACTGAGCTAGCCAAAGAGGGTGACCAAAAGAGTGGAAGCATGTTACTGAGAGGTGTTGCAAGAAGAGGGTTCTCATAGTGGAAATAAATCCACTGAAACACCAGAGGATGTAAGGACTTAGTCTTGGTGGGACAGCTGACAAGTTGAAAGCCCCAAGCATATGGCAGGCTAACAACTGGCTGCTGTAGTAATGGGCACAAAAGAGGATCTCTAAAGAGAGAGAAAGCAGTAATCTTGAGAGCCAGCTACCTCCTTGTTGATAGACATATGAGATAACAAAGATGGAAAAAGATAGTAGCAGGCCTGTTGAACTGCTAACATTTTGAGGGCATTGATGTGGTGAGACCACTCCTCTGAAGACCAAAAACAAGAAATAATGAAGACTAGAAGGAATGCATCTAGTCATCACCACCCACCGCCAACTCTTGGGCTACTCTTTTACCAACGAATAGTGGGATTGACAGTCACATTATAATGTGACTATGATTCAAACCTACAACCCTCAGATTACGAGTCAAGCGCCCTAACCACTTGGCCATGACGGGCCACTCTAGAAGATAGGAAGATTTCTGACCATAGGTCACAGAGAAGGAACCTTGAACTTGGGGAAGATGTTGAAACTAAGAGTCGACCCAAAGTTGAAAAGAGGTAAGAGAGGAAATAGGTAAAAAAATCCTAGAGGCAAGAAGCTTGCCTAAGAACTAGGCAAAAACAGTTGGAGTAAGAGAAAAAATTTCACATACCTGAATTATCAGTAGTAGTAAAAGACAAGGATGAAGTTACCTGATCCTCAAAAGGAAGAGAAGAGGTCAAATCAAAGGCAGGCTGTTTAAGGAATTGGTCAAATTCAAAGAAGGATCAGCAGGAGCTACAGGATTATGGGGCCATGAGATTAAGAATGTAAGACAGAACTAACCACTTAATGTCTAATGGCTGTACAGGAGCTACAGAATTATGTTGCCATGAGAATAAGAATGTAAGACAGAACTAACCACTTAATGTCTAATGGCTGTATAGGGGCTACAGAACTATGTTGCCATGAGATTAAGAATGTAAGACAGAACTAACCATTTAATGTCTAATGGCTGTACAGGAGCTACAGAATTATGTTGCCATGAGAATAAGAATGTAAGACAGAACTAACCACTTAATGTCTAATGGCTGTAACGTCACTTACTGTCAGAGTACCTCCAGTTTTCACTGACGTAGAAAAAAAGACAACTTCTGAGGAGAATTCAGAAATGTGGATACAAGAACTATTATTAAATATGATCCAAGAAGTTGAATTAATAGAAAGTATTGTTTTTTTCATTTGTTTTTATTTCTTAATTTTCTAAATTTCTTTTTGATGAAACCAAGATTGATTATTGGATTTCGTCTAAGCCCTATCCCAAGTTTAAGAATGATGTATAATATTCCTTTCAAGGAAACCATATCACAGCCTCTTGGACACTTGTCCTTAATCTTATGATTTGATATGTAAAGGCATCAAAGTAATATAAGAAAAGCAGTAACTTTTTAAAAGCTTTAACTGAAAATCAAATTAAAATTAAAAGTTAGGTGCAGCACAAAAGATCCTTTATTTTAACAAAAGGCCTAAGGAAATAATATGACCAAACACTACAGTGCAGAGGAAAAGGATGAGCTTTTATTACACAGCAATTGTTCAAAGTGAATGGACGATATGGCACAATCTTATTGGTGGAAAGGTATAATGTATAACAGATTAATGCAGTTCAAATTATTACATGTAGGGGGTCACAGCTCATTCAAAGGCTTAGCATCCATGCTTAACTTCTCAGAAACAGTGCTGAAGTACTAGTTATTTTTAAGAGAAGTGAGTAACCTAGTTTGATATTGTCATTCTTAGATATTGCACATGCAATGAGTAACATTTTGGCAGACATATCACCGGAGAGTGTGGTAGCACTCTCTATGTGGGGATGGCACAGACGTTCTTATTAAAGCAATACAAAAGTCATCTGAATTTTCTTCTCTATGAGTCATCAGAAGCTAGATGTAAAGAGCTACCTGACACAGTCGCTCTATCTCCAGTGTATATCCTGCTTTTCAGATATCCAGAGTGTCATAAAGTTGAAAACTGGTGAACACCAAACCGAGAGTTATCATTTTTGTTTGTCATCATCTTTCTTCAATAGGCCTAACACCTACCTAGTTTTAACAGTAACTATGATTTTATCATCATTTGAAAGAGCAAAACAGTCTTCACAATCTTTGACTACCTATTATATTATTATCTTATGCAAAATTTATAAAACTTTAGAATACACTGTATAACCTAGTAATCCACTTACACTACCTTATAATAAAACATAAACAAACAAGTATTGGGAAAAAATTTATCACTAAATAAAAAAGCTATGTAGTGCTGGCTACTGAACTTGAAAAAATGAACCAAAAAAGATAGGGATGGGAGTGGACATATCATTTTATCCGGCTAATGATAACTTAGAAGACTAAGCTGTCTTGACTTTACATGGAGAATGAAATCCCTACATTACTGGCTTCCTCAGTAGCAAAACAAATAGAACCAGAACTTCCAATTATAAAATGTTACTCTATTGTATAATAGTCATAAAAGTAGTATTTTAAAGTTAACTAAAGGAAATGTATAATGATGAAAGCTGAGATTCTATTCAAACACCAAGCTTTTGATAGACAAAGTGGGGGAGCCAATAATGTAGGGATTTTATTCTTTATTTAAAGTCATGATAGCTTAGTCTGTTAAGTGATCATTAGCAGATCAAGTGATATGTCCATTTCCATCCCTATCTTGTTTGGTTCCTTTATTCAACTTCAGTTGCCAGCTCTACATAGCTTTTTTATTTGGTGATAAATTTTTTTCCTTATGACAACCTTTCATTTTGACTTTCAATCACTGGAAAACAACACAGACAACTTCAGCTCATACAAGATTCTGCTGAGTAACAAAATCTTACCTTTGAGAATATATCCTTTTCTGGTCTCTAATTTCATCATTGTAATGTCCTCCTACATTTTCATTATACAGGTGTACTATGTCTAAAAGGCCAGAACTGTAAAGAAAATTAAATGAAACCAGTAAAAAAAGCTGAAAATGGAACTTGTAAAAACCACAAGAGAAACATAAATTATAATGAAATGATTCTCTTCAGTATCATGTATGTGCTTTCAACAAATTGAATATTTTTTCTTATTTGAAGAATGTTTAATTTCTTTGTTTCTAAAACATTTACAAAATCGTGGAAAAAAAGTTTTATGAAATTGACTGTCAAACACCACATCAAAACAATAAAAGGGTAGTAATTGGTGCAGTGCTAGAGAACACAGAAATTTTTAATAGTAAAATAACAATGGATATTATATTAACAGTCTTAATGTTGTTATTTAGTTCAAACATTACACTGGATATTGTACTAACAGGTTCTATGTTTTTATATAGTGAAAGAATTACACTGGATATTGTACTAATAGTCTTAACATTTTTAATTAATGAAAACAGTAAAATGGAAATTAAAAACAAAAACTGAAACATTTCTTATCAAAACTGTGATTTTGATTATAAACTATCTAGCTAATTTCTTACTTATGTAATGAGAACTGATTTTGATTAAGAACTATCTAGCTAATTTCTAACTTGTGTAATGAGAACTGTGATTTTGATTAAAAACTATTTAGCTAATTTCTTACTTGTATAATGAAAACTGTAATTTTTGATTAAAAACTATCTAGCTAATTTCTTACTTGTGTAATGAAAACTGTGATTTTGATTAAAAACTATCTAGCTAATTTCTTACTTGTGTAATGAAAACTATCTAGCTAATTTCTTACTTGTATAATGAGAACTGTGATTTTTGATTAAAAACTATCTAGCTAATTTCTAACTTGTGTAATGAGAACACTGATTTTGATTAAAAACTATCTAGATAATTTCTTACTTGTGTAATGAAAACTATGATTTTTGATGAAAACTATCTAGCTAATTTCTTACTTGTGTAATGAGAACTGTGATTTTGATTAAAAACTATCTAGCTAATTTCTTACTTGTGTAATGAGAACTGTGATTTTAATTAAAAACTATCTAGCTAATTTCTTACTTGTGTAATGAAAACTGTGATTTTGATTAAAAACTATCTAGCTAATTTCTTACTTGTGTAATGAAAACTATGATTTTTGATGAAAACTATCTAGCTAATTTCTTACTTGTATAATGAGAACTGTGATTTTGATTAAAAACTATCTAGCTAATTTCTTACTTGTGTAATGAGAACTGTGATTTTGATTAAAAACTATCTAGCTAATTTCTTACTTGTGTAATGAAAACTATGATTTTTGATGAAAACTATCTAGCTAATTTCTTACTTGTATAATGAGAACTGTGATTTTGATTAAAAACTATCTAGCTAATTTCTTACTTGTGTAAGGTTTTCTGGATGTAATGAAGATTGTTCATTCGGAAAATGGCCTTAAGATAAGCATCATTGTACGATTCACTCTTTGTTGTTAGGGCCAGTCCCAGAGCTGACAAGACTCTGTCTATAGAAGACAAAGAAACCACATAAACAATAATTTCCTGTTGGGGCCAGTCCCAGAGCTGACAAGTCTCTGTCTATAAAAGACAAACAAATCCCATAAACAGTAATTTCCTGTTAGGGCCAGACAACCAAATCACATAGACAATAATTTCCTGTTAGGGCCAGTCCCAGAGCTGACAAGACTCTGTCTATAGAAGACAAACAAATCACATAAACAATAATTTCCTATTAGGGCCAGTCCCAGAGCTGACAAGTTTCTGTCTATAGAAGACAAACAAATCACACAGACAATAATTTCCTGTTGGAGCCAGTCCCAGAGCTGACAAGTCTCTGTTTATAGAAGACAAACAAATCACATAAACAATAATTTCCTGTTAGGGCCAGTCCAAGTGCTGACAAGTCTCTGTCTATAGAAGACAAACAAATCACATAAACAGTAATTTCCTGTTAGGGCCAGTCCCAGAGTTGACAAGACTCTGTCTATAGAAGACAAACAAATCATATAAACAATAATTTCTTGTAAGGGCCAGTCTCAGAGCTGACAAGACCCTGTCTATAGAAGACAAACATATCACATAAACAATAATTTCCTGTTGGGGCAAGTCTAAGTGCTGACAAGAGTCTGTCTATAGAAGACAAACAAATCACATAAACAGTAATTTCCTGTTGAGGCCAGTCCCAGAGCTGACAAGATTGTCTGTAGAAGACAAACAAATCACATAAACAGTAATTTCCTGTTAGGGCCAGTCCAAGTGCTGACAAGACTCTGTCTATAGAAGACAAACAAATCACATAAACAATAATTTCCTGTTCGGGCTAGTCCCAGAGCTGACAAGACTGTCTGTAGAAGACAAACAAATCACATATACAATAATTTCCTGTTCGGGCTAGTCCCAGAGCTGACAAGACTGTCTGTAGAAGACTAACAAATTACATAAACAATAATTTCCAATCAAAAATTAATAAAATACTTTTCCACCTAAACCTTGAATTTCTAGCTTTTCTCTATATCTAATTTTTTTCACTTTCTTCTAATAAACAATTCTAATATATCCAATTCCACAGAAACAAAAACAAATAAACTGGACAAGTTTATAAAATTAGTTAAGGCACTACTAAGCATAACCAGCCTCATGTCAAGTGCCTGAAGCAGCTATGATATTTGATCCTTTGTAAATTTCTCAATCCACAAACAAGTCTATGAAATCTAATAAACTAATATCTCAAAGAGTTATTGAAGTCCTGTACTGAAGTCTCCACAAGCTGTCAGCTTAAAAAGAGATATATATAATTTAGTGGTTTATACAAAAAAATACACCAGAACATCTTATATATATGAAAGAAAAATCATTAAGAATTTCTTTAAAGTATGAACTGAAGGTTTAATGAACTTACATATATACTGGGCCAGAGCAAGTTTACTTGGATCTTTAGCTTCTCTAGCAGCTCCAATATCTGAAACTGCTAAAACTGACCCCAACATGTCAATATAATCTTGTAGTTGTTCTAGCAGCATCATCACCTGTAGAATAACAATATGTGAAACCATTAGCAGAAATCCCAACATATCAATAAAGTTTTGTCATTGTTCTATTATCATCTGTAGAATAACAGAATCTGAAACCATTAGCAGAAATCCCAACATATCAATAAAGTCTTGTCATTGTTCTATTATCATCTGTAGAATAACAGAATCTGAAACCATTAGCAGTGACCCCCAACACCATGGTAAAATCTTGTAGTTATTCAGTATCATCTGTAGACTAACACTATTGATATGTTAAATGGAAGACATCCACACATTTTCTATATAGTAAGACTGACAATTTCAGTAGTATAAAAAATGTAAAAAATCTTGACTGACTTTTTAACCCTTTGGCAAGTTATTACTTAGGAGAGAATTTGCAGGTTTCTCTCTTATGAAGGAAACATAAGTTACACATTAGAATTTTAGGAAATAATACTTAGCTAATTACACACAGTTATACTGGTATTACATTGTTTATTGAACTTTAAAATCTACAACAGAGCTACTAGCATTTGTGAGTTCAGCAAGTAAGGTGCACGATATTCTTTCTTTAATGTTATTGTTTTTAATAGCATTAGTAAGCATTATTAGTAAGCAAATGTTAACGAAATTTGGCAGATCATCAGTAAAAATTACAATGCTTTCATACACAATATATAAATTTTTTTATTAAGTCCTAAGGTTTGTAAAGCAATGTTTTTCTCATGCCTTTTTTCTTATCACATCTTGCCTATCTAGCCTGCAAAGTAATTTTCATTTTAAGATTAAAAATACTTTTATGCATCAGAAAATTTTCAAATTTCACATGCTAGTTACAACCTTTGTACTCAGTTGCTGCTAAGCCTTTACAAATTTTGCACATTGTGGATATGAAACAAAATAATTTTGTTGAGGTTTTTATATATACATTTGAATAACTATAAAATCATAAATTACTACATCAACATCGTAGAATTCCACTATAATTTATCAAACTTATTAACTAAGATTTATTTTACTCTAAAAAAATATGAAATTTCAAGCAGACTAAAGACACACCCTACCTCCTTAAAATATTGGTTTGAAAGAAAGAAATGGCATTCAAGCACGTTAAAATGGCTGAGAGAGCTACTTGGAGGACATTCTGTGCTTCCAATTGGTTATTCATGCCATATATAGAAGTAAATGTATACAAGAGAGTGTTTCCAAAAATGGAAAGAGGTGGGCAGGGTGCCATTGTGTTTTATTTATTACATGAGCAATATATTATCAAACAGAAAAGATAAAACTTTCTTATTTTATATTCTAGCTTATCGGTAATACCGGTAATTTGAGTTCCTAATTTGTACGAAACTACAAACTTAGTATTTTGACATCAGAAACATCTAATTTGAACCAGTGCTGCATTCAACATACCACGTGACACAAAAATCAATGTTTATGTGTGTTTATAATACTTACTTTTAAATTAAGAAATTGAGTAATGTATAGTACTAAAATCTGAATTATAATCTACAGTTTGATATCAAACTTATTGACATAAATTCATGAAATAGTAGTTCAATAGAATTTTTGAATGCAAGTCACCAAACGAGATGATGTGACCTTTCACCTGTGACCCATTTCGAAAGGGTTAATATTTGTTGTTTAACCCTTTAGGCACACCCATTGCCATAAGATGACCACATGATGCAGTTTAAATTTCCCATTAGAAATACAAAATCAATAGATAAAGCCTAATCTTTAAAGATGTCAATGTTAGCCAGCAATTCGTATCCAACCTGGTGTGTGTTGCTATTCAATAAAATTTTGAATGCGAGTCAACAAACGAGATGACATGGCCTTTCACCGATGACCCGTCTTGAAAGGGTTATTTTGTTTGTTAGAGATACATGAGGTTTGGATAAGGCAAAACTGACATTAGTAAATATCAATCTGACTGAAATCTTAAAATAAGGCATATATTATCCAGTTTCTTACTTTTATCACCTACTGTTTACTAAAGATTACAAAAAAAACAAGAAACAGTTACAGAGTTAAAACTCACGTTACTATTCAATTCGTGGACAGTTCCATCTTTGGGTAGTTTAGTATCAGGATCATTTTTAATGCTGTCAATAAATTCCTCCAAGGCTTTGTGAATCTACAAAACACCATTCAAATTTTCTTAATGGTCAATATATTACTAAAGGTTAGATTTAGCAAACACTGAAAATGTAATAAAAAATAAAGCCATCTCCTTACTACTGTCTATAGAATATCCCATCATGTACTCTACACTCAACAAACATAATGTATTTTCCATTTCTTGGTGTATTCAATCACAGTACATCAGCTTCGTTTAAGCCACCTAGTGTCAATGTACTAACATACTTTTGTAAAGAAACATTCAAAGATGCAAAATAATAAAAGCTACTCAAAATCTTTATTTCTTCTCAGGTGTTCTTAATTTTGTAATGTTTTTAATCTCTTCACTTGAAGATAGTGTGAGCGAAAAAAATACCTCTTACACAACAGTTTTCAAACAAAGGTATTCATACTTGTCACAATACATTAGTATTAGGCTTATTATATTTTTAAACACTACATTCTTTACCCAATCATTCTAGAATTTTAAAGACCAGTTGGGATACAAGAAACAAAATAGTGTTGGAACACTATTTAAATAAGCCATTTTTACAACAATTGAGCTTGCATGAGCCGACCTTGAACCTTCGTGCGCATGCGTGAATTTTTTCCCGCTTGTTGATTCCGTCAGTTGTTGGCAAGCAGCCATTGAGTGAGGTAGTGTGTAGTGCTCTCGTCGGTTTTTCATTGCAAGGAAAATGACGGAACGACTGGAGCAGCGCTACTGCATCAAATTTTGCCAGAAACTGGGCGACAGCCAGGTGGAAAACATTCGGAAGATTCAGACAGCTTTCGGTGACGATGCTATGGGCATCACACAGATTAAGAGGTGGTACAACCGGTTTAAAGACGGCCGCACAACGGTGGAGAGCGAGCCACGCTCCGGTCGGCCATCAACATGCCGAAATGACCAGGTCATTGCCAAAGTGAACGCTATGGTGATGCGGGACCGTTGTGTGACTATCCGAGAAATTGCGGAAGAGGTGGGCATCAGTACTTTTTCGGCACATTCCATTATGACCGAAGATTTGGCTATGAAGAGAGTGGCGGCCAAATTCGTGCCGAAGCTGCTTATGGTGGAGCAAAAGGACTTCGTGTTGAAGTCTCACAGGACATG